GGGATGATATATTCAAAATACTAAAAGACAGAGATTGCCAGCCAAGAATACTCTACCCTGCAAGGCTGTCCTTCCAAAGTGAAGGGCAAATAGTATATTTTTCAGACAGACAAAAACTGTGGGAGTTCACTACCACACGACCACCCTTACAAGAAATTCTCAAGGAAGTACTGGGTTTGGTACCTGAAAAATAACTACCACTGCCATAAAAACCCAAGAAAAATCAAAACCCACTAGTATAATAAAAATAGTATAATAAAAATGGCCTCAGGCCTTTTATAAGGGCACTAGTCCCATTCATGAGGGTAGAGCCCTCAAGATGTAATCACCTCCTAAAATCCCCACCTCTTAATGCTATTGCATTAAGGATTAGGTTTCAACATATGAATTTTGGGGAAACACAAACATTCAGGCCATAGCAACTCCTTTTCTCAAAATTCTCAGATCCAGATTATCTCCATCTGTTGCTCTGATTTTCCTTACTGGGGATTCAAAGTGGAGAAATTTGGCACCAAATCCCCTAAAATTCCCTACAATCGTCTCCTCTCATTTTCACACTCCTGTTGACTCTTTAATCTGACTTCTTTCAGCTCCAGAGATTGTGAACTATGAGCCCCTGGGGCTGGAGGCTGACATGTGGTAAGTTGTACAGGTCACTCAGATGGCCTAGGGATCCTTCTAAGGGCAGAGGCCTAAGACCTGTTCCAAGTGGCATCCCCTTGACCGTGAAAACCTTTTATCCACACTCACCTTTCAGAGCCTCTGTTTGCTTCAGGTGTGCTGGGCCTGTGGCCGGAGCAGTTGGAGGCAGCTAGGCCTGGACCTGAGGCTAGTTAGAAGAAGACCGAATCAAGCTTTGCGGTAGAGAAGCAAGGGGAGAGGTGAGGCTGGGGGTGCAGGCTCACCCCTGGGCCTGCCACAGCCACAATAAAGATGATAGCAACAGTAGCTCTGTTCATGAGCAAGTGTGCACTGAGAGTCCTGTGTGTGCTGGCCCCGTGTTGGGCCCGGGGATACTGCAGTGACTGATTCTCTGCACAGATGAGACTCGTTTCATCTGAACACTGCTTTTTCATTGGCCAAGCACCTTCGTTACCTGGTTTTCTGCAGTCCTGGCAGCAGTCCTGTGAGGTAGTTACCAATATCCTTATTTTATGAGAAGGAGGCTCAGAGATGACAAGGGACTTGCCCAAATTACAGAGCCTGCAAATGTGGGAGTCTGATCTTGAACTCGGGTCCTTGGGCATAGTGTCCAGAGCTCAATGACCCAAACACATCCCTGGCTACTGCTGCAGAGTGGGATGGAGGGGTGTGGAGCTTGAGTCGGCATCCAGGGGCTGCTGTGGAGGAGGCGAGTGATCTCTTCCCCTGACAACCACATGGGGAGTTGCTTGCTGGTCTGGGATCTGAGCCAGGCAGCCCTGACTTGACTCTTTTTTTGTTTTGCAGGAGCATAGGCGTCATCACCTACATCCTGTGAGTATCCCTGATCCCAGGGCTCCCACCCAGCTTAGATGTGGGGAGCTGAGAGGAATAGAGAGGGGCAGGCAGACAGACTGACATTTGCTGAGCACCCACCATAGGCCTGATGTATTAAGAGCACACCACAAACCTGAGCCAAAGCACTGTGAGCTCCTTTCATGCATTTGACCCTAGGGTCCAGGAGAGAAGCATCTGCCCTCCACCCCATGTGGAGTGCCAGGGCTCCCCTGCTTACCCTCACCCAGACTGAGGTTTCCTATGCGAATGTCAGCTTTCACTCAGAAGCCATGGGACAGCCCTGAAGCTGCCGCTGCCCTCCCCGTCCTGCCTCTTCTTTCTCTCCCCTTTTCCCTGCCTTTCCCCAGATCCCTTTTTCTTCTTACGTTCTCTCCTCCTTTCCTGTATTTAGTTGCTCAATACTGAAGTGTTCAGTTGCTTAAGCAGAGATTGCCCGCATAGCTCTACTGTGTAGTGGGTTACATTTGGGGCTGGAGTCTGACATCGCTGTCACTTTCCATCTCTGTGGCTTTGGGCAGGTATTTAACCTCTGGTCCTATTTTTCTCATTAGAAAAATAGGAATCCCAAATTTCCCTCCACGGATGTTTGTGAGGGTTAAATAAGCTGATGTGCACAAATTTCCTAGCCCTGGCTTTGGCACACACAGGGTGGGTTAGTAGGTGTTCATTCCATCAGTGCTTCCCAACCGTTTCCCCCTCACAGCACACATGGAAAGTGCTATTTTCATGGCACACTGGGGTAAGAGCCCACAGCCACAGGGGTAAGGGGGGCACCAGCACTCAGTAGCTGGGGGCATCATTCTCTCAACAACCCCGTAAACCAGCTCTCTGACTCTACCCACAGCACTTGGACTGGGAGCTCCATATGACATGGTAGATCCCCTTGAGCTGCAGCAGAGGGTCTCAACCCTGTCTGCACAGTAGAGCTTTTAATACCTACCACAGCCCAGGCCCTGTCCCAGGTCTGTAAAATCAGAATCACTAGAGGTAGGGCCTTCGCATCAGTATCTTTTAAAAGCCTCAGCTGAATTTGATGCAAAGAGGGCTGAGAACCATTGATCTGTACTTCTGGATCAGAGCCAGAATATTCAGATGTTGGCTCTTGAAACCTTGATTTCTTCAGAACTCTGGTCTCCATATTGAACTCTTAAAGAATTCTAGTATCCACAGGGCACATAGTCTTTTTGTGGCTCATCTGAATTTGACAGCTTTATTGAGGGCCTGCTCCACGTGGGCACTATGCCAGGCACTCAGGATGCTGACATGAGGAGCATCTTCCTTGCTTGCCTGGGGCTCCCTGGCTGTGGGAGACAAACCATACAGCTAACTCTCACCCAACGGGACCTATGTTATGCTGGAGGTATGTGAGACACAAATGGAGAGCCATTAGTTTGCTGGGGCTGCCAAAGGTTTAACGAGAGAGAGAGATGGAATGACAGAGACAGAAATTTGAACTGGGATATAAGAAACAAAGTTAATTCTCCCGGTGGAGAAGGAGGGAAGGGCTGTGCTGGCTGAGGAAACAGCACAAGGAAAGAAACGTGAGCATGTTAACTGTGGCTGAAATGTACTGAGCATGTAGTAGGGACCAACTTCTGATGCCTTGTTCGGGAGTTTGCGTGTGATCCTATAGAAAATGGGGAGTCACAGAAGGTTCTTTGTATTCTAACAATGACAATAAAGGCCATTCATTCCAGAGCCCTTAGTATGGGCCAGGATTGCATAAAGTATTTTATATACAATTATTCTTCACAATAATCATGTGAGGTAGGGGCTTTTATTGTCTTCATTTTACAAATAAGAAAACTGCAGCTCAGAGAGATTGGGTACCTTACCTAGGTTCACACAGCTAATAAGTGGCAGAGCTGGGATTCAAATCCAGGATTAAACTATCAAAAACTTTCCCAGTGCACCTTGCTGCCACTATACTAAGAAAGTGGTAGTGGGGATAGGGATGATCTTCAATAGATATTTAGTAAATGGAAATGAGACTTTGGCCAGTTAGATGTGGCGAGGGAGTAGATGGAAGAGTTCGAGGTGATTCCCACGTTTCCTGTGCTTGGGTACATTTGTGAAGTAATGTCACTAATTAAAACAGGGGTTGCATGGAAGGGGGTTGGGCACAGTGAATTCTGGGACAAGGGCACATCTGGGTAGAGATATCCCATGAACAAATGCAATATAAGTCAGGAGATGTTAGATTTGGGAGTGAGTATGTGTATGGCACATCCTTGACAAACCCTGTGGGGGAACCCCACAGACCCTTCCAGTGTCTAATGGCTCATCTATTGCCATATCTCTCAGGCTTTGCTCAAGTTGCTCCCTTAGCCTGGAAGATCTTTCCGTCTCTTCCTGCAACTACTGACAGTCTCTTTATTCTTAAAGACACAATCGATGCAAATGTCAACTCTACCATGAAGCTGCACTGTCCCCCCCATCCCCCATGATCCCCCAGTCCTTTATCTGGCCTTCTATTATATTCTGCTTTGCTCTGCTGGGAATTATTAAGAACTGTGGCTCTGTGTTTCTCTCCCCTCAGTTTTTGTCCCTTAAAGATACAATTTCTGTCAGGTACTTAATAGGAGCTCCATAAAAGTGTATTGAATTAGATTCAGTTGAGAAGGCTGCTCATTGGCTGCCTGGAGGGGCCAGGCTGCATTGCTGGGAGCCTCTTGCCCCACGTAACTGTACAGGTCAGGGTTCCCCTAGTCCATCACCCCCATTTCCATCTACTTTCCCACAATCATACAGTTCCCTCTCTGTTCTGCTCAGCCTAAGTGGAGCATCCCCTTTCCTGGGAGACACAAAGCAGGAAACGCTGACAAATATCACAGCAGTGAGTTATGACTTTGATGAGGAATTCTTCAGCCAGACTAGCGAGCTGGCCAAGGACTTCATTCGGAAGCTTCTGGTTAAAGAGACCCGGTAAGAGGACAGAGAAAGGCACTGGTTTCTCAGATATTGATACTTTCCTGTAGCCTCTCTCAAAGATATGTTCGTCTGTGCCCACTTTGCCACAGCTGTCATCTGCACCATTGTAGTCTAATCTGGGCAGGTGCTGAGAAGCGTGGACTGGCTGAGACTTGGCATTCATCTTGTTTGCTCAAGTTTTTCTGCTTTCTTCTCCTATTGAAATGTAAATAACTGTGTGTGTGTGTGCATGTGTGTGCGTGCGTGCGTGCATGTGTGCGTGTGTGTGTATGTTTGAAAGTCAGCCTGGGTTTCTTTAGAGTTCATTACCTTGTGCAGTCTGTCCCAAAGGCACCTGGAACTGGGATTCGAAAAGGTAAAGTGGCAGGGTTTTCAAGCCAATTCAGGTTGGAGTAGGGGGAGCCAGGTGCAGAGAGGTCAGTACAGTATGAGGATAGGAAACATACTCATTCTATCCCTTCTTCAGGGCCAGGGTGAGCCCCATGGCTGTGGGGTCAAAGAAGGAGATGGGCAGGGAATTGTAGGGTACTGGGTGCCCATGGCCTGGATGGGGGAGGGGGAAAGAGCCACGGACTCTAAAAGCCATGTCCTTTTGGTCCCACAGACTTTAGAAGGGGCTATAGTGGGGTTCTCTGAAGTTCAGGGGCCCTGATTTCCTTAAGAGCAGTCCTAGGATGGGTCACTGTACCTGGGTACAGAGCAGCAAAGGGAGAGGAAGGATCTGGTAGGTAAATAGAAAAACAGAGACCAGAGATTTAGCAATGGAGAGCTGGCTTTTGGAGGATTCTGGAAGCTCAGTAGAGCATTTATGACTCTCAGTAGTGTGGCATTAGGCCTTTCAACTTTGAGACTGAAGGTCCCAAAGGTTTAGGTAGTAAGGTCCCTCCATCGAAGGGTCTTCCTGGACCACTTTCCCTGTAGTGCTGGGTATGCATCCCTTCCCACCCATCTTTGCATCCTCCATTATACTGGTTTGATGGCAGTGGTCAAAGAATGCTAAAATATAGGTCTAAAAAGAGTGAGAATGGAGACTGTTGCTCCCAGCTTCTGTCCTCATCACTGTTTTCTAATCCTCACTGCAGGAAACGGCTCACAATTCAAGAGGCTCTCAGACACCCCTGGATCACGGTAAGGGAATGACTGTGAGTTCCAGTGAGCAGGCAGGCCCCCGTTCTGTTGCTAGGGCTGGCTGGGCAGTCAGATGCAGAGGGACCATGAAGAGGCCTTTGCTTGAAGCCCTGGCTCTTGGACACAGATGAAAGCTAGTTAGGGGCCCCAAAGGGCCTGGGCTTGTTCGAATAGGTTTATGCTACTTCAAGTTTGTATTTCACAGGTATTTTATGAGTTCACAGGTAACTCATAAAATTAGACCCACAAACCTCGGTTGAAACCCTTTTCTTTTGAGGTCTTCTTACGAAGTTTTTTTTGTTGGAGGACATGTCACCATCACTTTTCGAAGCAGAAACTTTGACTCTTGTAATTGGTCAATGGCAATTTAAAAAAACCCACTTTGTAACAAGGGCTCCTTCTTTCTGACTTTGAGGCTCTGAGTAAAGGAAGACACTCATGTTGGTCACCCAGCTTCCTCAGGCACCATGAGGCCTCAGGAATGGGGCTCTGAGACAGTGTTCTGGTGGGGAAGAGAGACAGCCACTCTGTCAGGGCAATTCTGTTCCCTCTGGGGCGAGTCAGGGCAAAGATGTGAATCCCTGCCTAACTTGTCTTGTAATCAAGCTTTTGGCTGCTGCTTTTTCAGAGGGTCTTGCAGTCTGGTATATAGTGAAAAGCACTTTGCGGGGGTTGGCGGGGGGGTGGACTCAGAGACCAGGATTCTGGCCCTAGTTCTTCAGGCTGACTGGCTGTGCACTCGTAGAGATGTCACCAGACTTCCCATTCACCTAATTGCTAAGTGAGAAGGCCTGTGAGGATGATCTGAGCATGCAGATAAGGGGTAGAGGCCCATGGATGATGGAGAGCAGGGAGGGTTGGATGCGTAGGGGAGAAGGTTGGGTTCATCTGCTCATTGAAGGATGGGGAGGCCTCCAGGTGTTGGGTGGGCCCAGAGTGCAGAGCTAAGGAGTCTTTTGAGCTGCTCCTGTTCGGTATGCTGAGTGTTTCCAAGGCCCAGGGAACCCTGAAGGAGAGATGCCCCTCAGCCTCCTCCTGCCAGCTGTGGTTTATGTGCTCCTACCTTTGAGTGGATGGCTGCAGAGTCTTGGCTGTGGCCTGCTTATCTGCGTGAGCACCCCTTAAATGCTATGCGTGTGGAGACCTTCTCTAATGGCTGTGGACCCCTCTGCCTTGAAGTGAGCATGCAGGCGGCACCCCCTCACTTCTTGACCTTTCTTATGGTCTGTGGGGGTGCCCATCCCACCCTGGTTCTCCCCAGGGCCTGACACAAGCAGCGAATGCCAAAGAGTCTGTGTGTGTGCCTTCTGCCTGCATCTCAGACTGCCCTTTGGAGCATGTGTCAAATTAACACTCTGGTTCTTCTGTCTGAACACCCACCAGTCGAAAGAAGTCAGAACCCCTGAACAGCAGAAGACAGAGCCCACCCAGCTGAAGACCAAGCACCTGAGAGAGTACACCCTCAAATGCCACTCAAGCATGCCCCCCAACAACACCTATATTAACTTCGAGCGTTTTGCCCATGTGGTAGAGGACATGGCTCAGGTGGAGCAAGGATGCCGTGCCCTGGTAGGGGCCCATGATACCATCCAGGATGACGTGGAGGCCCTGGTCTCCATCTACAATGAGAAGGAGGCTTGGTACCGAGAGGAGAGTGAGGGCGCCCGGCACGACCTGTCCCAGCTCAAGTACGAGTTCCGCAAGGTGAAGTCCTTGAAGAAGCTCTTGCGAGAAGACATCCGGACCACAGGGTCCAGCCTCGGAAGCGTGGCCAGGAAGTTGGACCATCTGCAGGTGCAGTTTGAGGCTCTGAGGCAGGAGCTCTCGGCAGACTTACAGTGGATCCAGGAACTGGTGGGCAGCTTCCAGCTGGAGAGCGGAAGCACAGATGGTCTGGGCTCCATGTTCCACCGGGACACCAGTGAATCCCTATCAGAGCTGCTCAACAGATCGTGCACCAAGGAAGTCCTGGCTGGCTTGAAGCTCTGAGTGCCAGAATCCAGTCAGTAACGCATCCTGGATGACTTGCAGAAGCACGTTCTCATCTGTCCTGCCGCCACATCCAGCTAGGATTACCTTGCAGGGGCATGTGTCTGTAGCATAGCCCCCCACCCCCTCCATGGAAGCCAGAATTGCTGAGGTGCTATAATTATTCATTCTGCACCTCCCCCACCAACCTGGTTTTCTAGGAGGGAGCTGGCAGGGCAACCACGCTGTTAAAACAATTAGAGAATGAATACCCCTCAGTGCATCCTCCAGAGGGAAGAAGGCTGGCCCAGGGGAGATGTGTGATAATTGCTTTGTGATGATGGATTTGTTCACATCTCACTTCCCGCCTACATGCCTTATGGATTGCTGTTAATTAGGGGTAACTAAGTCAGCATGGTGCTTTCCTGCTACAGAAGCAGGGATTTAAAATGTACAGAGAAAATAATATTATCTTTCATTTGCATTGACTTTTCACTTATCAAGCACTTACGTTTATGACCTCACCTGGTCATTTAAAGAACTCTCTGAGACTGGAAGATGGGTGGTAGTGGTATTATTATCATTATTATTATTATTTCAATTTAACTGATGAGAGAATTGACTCAGAGAAGGAAAATGACTTAGGGTTATTCATATCCAGTGGCACAGATGAAACAGAAACCCAGGATGCCAGTCTCTAAGATGAGGTATATGGGAGGACATAGTGAGGCTCTACTGTAAATATCCACCTTAATATTAAAGTTCAGATCCCAGAGGCAAAGTAAGCAACTTCTTGTATTCTGCCAGGTGTAGGTAGAATGCATACACCTACAGATGATTGTCCCAGGAACTGCATCCCAGAAGGCATAGTCACTGTTCCTACCCAACCCTGTCCTTGTCTAAGACCAGCCTGCAGAGCAGGAGGGAAGGGGCAGCATCTCCCCTTTCTCCATCCACCCTTTCCCCTGTTCTGGCTAAGGGCCCCAGCTTTGTGTTGAGAATGAAGACCAAAAGACACTCAACAAAGAGTTTCCTTTTTCTTATGTACCTAGGCCAATGGGCCCTGAAGGTCTAAGAAATTCCATGAAAGTTTTTGAAGAGGATGGACATAAGGATTGGGAAGCACAAGGTTCAGTGGTTCTTTCATGACTCAAAGTTTTGAGCACCCTTCCCCAGGGATTATATGATATCATCTCCCAACATGTATAGACAGAGCATGGAAGTGGGCCCAGCAATGTGCTAGAAGCTTGGAGTAGTAGAACCAGATTGTGTAGTTTCAAAGTGCCTTCACGGCCTCACAAAATATCCCTGTCAGATAGGCAGAGTAAAGATTAGTTCCAATTTAGAGATGAGGAAACAGAGAAAGGATGTATCTGCCCAAGGTCACATCATTAGTGGCAGAAGTGGAGACCTTCTGATGACAAGTCTGTTGCTTTTTCTGCTTCTTCTAACTGCCCTAGGCTCTAGGAGTTTATTCTCTCTGCTTGTGGAGGCAGGTTATGCCTAGGTTCATTCATCCACCACAAGTAATTATTGGGCACCTACCAACTTCCAGACTCAGCTTGACTTGGGGGATACAACGTTGAGCAAAAACAGACCTGTTTCCTGCCTTCATGGAGTCCTCAGTCCAGTGAAGGATTCGAACGTTAGTAAAGACACACAAATGTGGAACTGCAGCTGGGACCGATGCTATGAAACAGAAGCATGTAGTGCTGCGAGCGCCTGCAGTGGGGTTTGCGCTAGTCAGGGGAGGTGCCCTAAAGCGGTGATGCTGGAGGTGAGATTAGCTGAAAGAAGTGTTCCCAACAGAGCATCGTGCCAGGGCTCTGTGATGAGAGGGGCCGTGGAAAGCTGAAAGTGTGAGGGCAGAAAGAAAGCTGAACAGGAGAGAATAGGAATAGGATGTAGACATAGCTGGAGAGGAGGCAAGACCAGCAGGGCTTTGGCTGTGTTAAAGAACTCTGCCTTTATCCCAAGAGTCAGAGGAAGCCACTGGTGGTCCTGGGCTAGTCAACAGTCCCTGGTGCTGGAGGGGAATTGTTCAGAGTGGCACAGATAGGAAGTAGTTTAGGACAAGACATGAAATTTGAATCACATTAAACCATTTCTTCAAGCCCTATCTTTTTTTTCTATTAGCATGCTGGATCATTTCAAATGTCATAAATAATATTTGTAACAGTAACTTTTTTCATCAGATATAAGAATCTATATAATATAAGATGCATCATTATTTTTCACACCACTAAGACTAAAAACAAAAGCCCAAGATAAGGAACCAAATAGGAGACACTACATGTAAAGCTGTGACACCCTTGGTGAGAGGGTAAATGAGAAATAAAGCCACCATGCAGGAAGGGAGAGCAAGGAAACGTGTATCTCAACCTTGACACTAGGTGGGGATGAAAAATCCTCCCATGAGGATAGGAGCCCCAGGCCAGTGGTACTCATGCAGGTTTGCTTTCTGAATTTGCACAATCAGTGTGATCCAAAAGAACCACAAGCGGAGAATGTAATGCCCAGCAGTCTGAGGGTGGGTGGCCCTAGATGGCTGGCAGAAGCAGTGCAGTCCTCTCCTGGAGCAACTGCCTTCACTCCAGGCCGACAGTAATGATTTGACACCATTGATTGGGAGATGCCTCCTGATTATAGACATCTGAAAATGTGCATCTTGGAATCAACAAAAGATGGCAAAAGCCCTGTTTCCTATGCCCTACCAGAGAGAATTGGTACAAATGACCTGTCTACAACCTTTCCAAGGACTTACCTGCCCTGTCATGGGTCACTGCATACTTGTTTGGTATAAGACACTGCAAATACAAAAGGTCCCTTTGACCATGTCAGCTGGACCTTGACCTTCACGCAACCAGGTTTCCTAAGGAGAGGAAGCCAATGATTGAGCAATGCATGGCAAACTTTCAAGCAGTGGTCAAAATAAAATGCAATGAAAGAGCAAAGTGTTGGCAATGATTTGAATTAGGGAGACTGGGAAAGGGAGGGAGAAGTAGTTATTTTAGAATCGTGGAATCAGCCACACATTGTTCATGCTGGCACCGTCCTCAGAGGTGAACCACCTGGCACACCATCATTTTACAGCATTTTACAGGGCATGAGCTGTCTGAAGTCACCCAGCTAGTCAGCCCCTTAGCTGGGCTCAGAACCAGAAGTCATTTTCCCCACAGTAGTGAAATTGTTTTCTCTGCTGATGTCCAGTCGTTGGTAACTGTTTGTCATTTAGAAGTTGCATAAATAGACCTTTTTCTGAAGAAAGAGCTTCTAAAGACAAATCAAAGTGAACTGAGAAATGCCCCCAGGTCTTTTAGGGAAATCAGAGAAGACCGTGACCTTCCTTTGTTACCTGGCCATTGAGCTCCCGTTCTCCTTTGGCACCAGAACCTGATGCCAAGGAGAGCCCAGGGAGGCCTATGGCATGTGGCCAGAGGACCTGCATTACTGTTTCCCACCCACCCACAGCTGGAATGATAACAACAGCATCGAGGGCAGGCCTGGGCTGTGGGGAATGAAATGCTTCACCAGTACCTAGAAGGAGGAAGGCTTGGGGGGCGTTGCTCTGTAGGCACGCCCCTCTGCCATTAGGGTGGATTTTTAATTCACCAGACTGAATTAAAGGTTCACTCCTGTGCTCTGTTCATACACCATCCTGGGCTGTTGGAGAAGGGAGGGTGAATGTGTGACGTCTCCCTGAATAATGATTCCCAGGGATGCTGGAGAACCAGCTTTGAGAGAAGGCAGCAGCCTGCCCCCGCTCTGAGGCATATGCTCACAGTGTATGACTGCCTGACTTTGTGTCAGGAAGAGTGCGATGGTTTGGTAATTGAGATTCCCAGGGATGCTGGAGAACCAGCTTTGAGAGAAGGCAGCAGCCTGCCCCTGCTCTGAGGCAGATGCTCACAGTGTATGACTGCCTGACTTTGTGTCAGGAAGAGTGCGATGGTTTGGTAATTGATGATTCTGCAGATGCAGGAGGCTGGTCATGAAGGGATGGAGCCAAGTACTAATGACAGGAGAAACAAGGGTCTCCTCTGTGAACCCCCTCCCCGCTAGTTCCTAGACCCCTGCAGGTGACTGTGAAGATGGCAGCTTCCCATCTTGCTGGATCACCATGCAGCACAGTTGGCCCATGTTGGAGGTGGCTGTGTGCCCAGCTGTCATGCCCACTGTCTACCTTCTGTAAAACCCTATGGATTGAATGCCTTTTTCTCCTTTGTCTGTGAAATTCATGGCCTGTGGATAAGATTCTTTGCCCTGGAGAGGAGACCCAGGAGTGGGTTTATTTGAGTTGCAGAAGGGGCCAGTTTAGTTGAACAAACACTGATTGTGCTCTGGCTCTGGGGCAGGTGACAGATAAGGAAAGACAACCCTTGAGTAAAAGACTCAGTGTTGGGGTGGACGGGGATCCAACAAACAGAGATGGGAAGGGCTGTGGTGAGTGATAACACAGAGGTACCTAATATTCTAGAAAATGGGGGAGAGATGGATTCTGACTGAGCAAGGGTAAAGGGCAGCAGAGAGCAGAGGCCGTCTCAGGGGCGGTCTCCCCACCACTGACACCCAACCCCCCCCCAGCTGTGTCCCATGAAGAATGTGCTGAGTAGAATTTGGAGGAATGGGGATGAGCCCAGATTGGGTTCAGGAACTTGGAACTGTTGTGTGGAGATTAGAGGGAGATTACAGAGATTAAAAAGAGGGAGAGTTTTTGTTTTTAACTTTTTGTTAAGGAGAATTTTCAAAACTTGCACAACGGTGTAGAGAACAGTACAGGGAGTCCCGCGTACCTATTCCCCCACTTCAACAGGAAGCAGGTCACGGCCAGTCCTTTTTCATTCTTCTTCCCCACTGCTTTTTTCTAGAGTATTTTAAGACAAACTTCAGATTTATTTATCTCATAAAGTCATCAGTACGAGTCTCTGATAAGGACTTTCTTCTTAATGTCACCGCCATGCCGTTATCACACCTGACAAAATCAGCAATAATTCCTTCATCTCATCCGAATACCCATTTCA